GCAACAATGAATGAATGGAATCCCCAAATCTCTGTAGATGTTCATTGAAATAAAAATAAACAACCTAAATTAAAAAAAAAAAAAAAGATCTGTTCTGTATACAGACTTTCAGGTACAGGGACAATATGTATCCCTAGTGCACTCCTTTCCTGATTTTGAACCATGCAGTGTTTCCTTCCTCTGTTCAGAGGATTGCTTCTTGGTCCAAGTATAGGTTTCATATAAGCATGATCAAATGCTCTGAAATTCCCATTTTCCTCAAGGTTAGCCACAATTTATTGTGCTCTACACAGTCAAATGCCTTTGCACAGTCAATGAAACACAAATAGACATTCTTCTGGTACTCTCTGCTTTCTGCCAAGATCCATCTAGCTGACATTGTTAATAATGTCTCGAGTGCCACAATCTTTTCTAAACCCAGCCTGTATTTCTGATAGTTCTCTGTCAATGTACTGTTCAAGTCTTTTCTGGACAATCCTCAGAAGGATTTTGCTAGTGTGTGATATTGTTAGATAATTCCACACTCTGTCAGGTTACCTTTTTTTGGAATGGGAATAAATTTGAATCTCTTCCAGTCAGTTGGCCAAGTAGTTATCCTCCAGATTTCTTAGCACTAGTTAGTGAGTACATGCAGGGCAGCATCTGTTTGCTGAAATGTGTCAATTGTTGGGGGATTATTTTTTTGCCAAGTCCTTCAGAGCAGCCTGTACTTCCTCCTTCATCACAATTGCTTCTTGCTCATATGTTGTTTCCTAAAATTCTTCTGTGCCAGCCAATTCTTTTGGTTCAATGACTCTGTATACTCCCTTCCATCTGTTTTTAATGCTTCTTGAATGAGTCAATAAGATCACTAATATAAAAATCTAAAATATTAATTTAAAACAAAACCCAAATAAACAAAAAATCTAAGATATGGTTTACATTCAGAATCAATCTTGCAGATAAGTGGGAAAAGGGAGCAAAACCCCATTAATTTAAAAAAAGAACACTGTTGCAGGGTACATTTTAAAAAGAGATGAATATAAATTTGTGCACGTGTACGTGTGTGTTTGTATATGTATTTTTCAACCACCTGGCCAAATGACTGGAAGAGATCTATATTTGTTCCCATCCCAAAGAAGGGTGACCCAACAAAATGTGGAAACTATACAACGTCACTGATTTCACGACAGAGTGTGGAAACTATAGACAATATCACTGATTTCACATGCATCCAAGATTCTACTGAAGATTATCCAAAAACGACTGGAACAGCACATCAGCAAAGAACTGCCAGAAGTTCAGAATGGGTTTAGAAGGGGTCGTGGTACTAGGGATATTGTAGCTAATGTTAGATGGATCTTGGCTGAAAGCAGGGA